TTGGTTTCGTAGAAAAACTTTAACTAAACACCTCTTTATAATTTGCATTGCAGGATCAGCCATAGGATTCAAGTTGGATAGTCTTCTTAAAATTTCTGATACTCGAGCTAGAAACAACAAAATGACTTTGATGCATTACTTATGTAAGGTAGAGCATCATCTGTACTTATACTGTCTTTTTGCTGTTGTTAAGGAATAAAATCTCACATCGAATAAAGATAAAAATATAGGCCAATTTGTAAGAGTTTGGACTACTCATCTTAGCAATGTTGACCTTTTAAGATGGAACCTCAAATCTTAATATGGTATCAGAGCCCGTTAAGTTCCAACGAGCAATTCGATCCGATTAAGACTCATAAAATTTGAGTACACGGATTTCAAGATTTGTCTGCTCAAACGAGCCATAATCTTGAAGGGATATATTAAGGGATAAAATCTTAATTTATAAGAGTTCGGGTTACTTTTAACAAGGTTGACCTTTTAAGATGTAACTCCAAATCTTAATAGCTGTATAATTGTATCACTTCTGCCAATGTAATTGGTCTTGAGACCAATATTAATTAATCACAAGACATTAGAATTTCCTTTACCTTAGAGCATGAGTAAAACCCCGTATCAAATATGACGGAGTTGTTAAAGATTTCCATATGGACTTACATTGGCTACTAGTTGGAAAATATTGCTTAAGCATGTACTGCTTTGTTAATTATCCATTTGTCTTTTTTAGATTGTTGCAGAGAAAATGCCAGAGTTGGTAGATTTCGTTAAGGATCTTGTACATGTGGAACCAGCCTCTAAGGTGTGTAAAACATTTTTAGATATTCTTTCATCGCTGCTTGTCATTTAGGGACAACTGACTCAGAAGTATCTGTTGCTTGTTCATCTGAATTTGGCACACAAGATCCAACTGAAGTCTTTGGCCGAAGAAATGCAAGCAGTGAGCAAAGGCCTTGAGAATGTTGAACAGGAACTCACTGCATCAGAGAATGATGGTGATGTATCTTTGGGCTTTCCGAAGGTAAGGAAGTTCTATTGCTGATCTATTTAATGTTGTGGATGCATTGCTAAGTTTTGATGTTATGATGAGATTAATGGTTCTACCTGATGCGGGGTCATGCTGAAGGGCATATCTTCTGTTGATGTAAAGGAATTTTTCTCCGCAGTTACATTTTTGTGCTTTTGTTTTTTTCCTGTCTACTACTTTCACTCTCAGGATATAATAATATTACAAGTAATGTCACTCACAGGATATTATCAATTCTGTAACATTTGCCACTCAAAGGATTGCTTTCCATCACTCTCTAATGTAGATTTAACTGTAACACTTGATCTGGATATATAAACCCTAGCAGAGAGATACAAGAGCAGCAAGTGAGAGGAAAATATCTGAATTGTGGAGACTCAATTAATAAATGAAATTAATTACGTAAACCTGGCTAACTCAACTATTGACCCTAGACTAACGAATTACAATAAACAAATTACAGAGCACGAACACATTGACACAAGACACTGCAGACACGACTTTAAGCTTGGCCTCTATCATCTTCAATAACGTGTTTCTCTGGGAATGGTGAATCCATTGTCACAAAGTGGATTGGAATTTCAGTGGTTGTATTTTTTAAATCTGTATACAAAGAGATAGTTTGTTCTTGAGTGTATTTTGCCCCCGTTTGACCCCGATTATTTGAGATTTTAATTTTTAGAATAGTGTTTTTTTGGAGAATGTGTGGTTGAAAAAGAAGAAAAAGTTTGCGGTTTACGTATAATATTATTTTATTGGAGAATGTGTGGTTGAAAAGAAGAGAGAAAAATGTATTAAAATTTTAATGGGGCCAAACGGGGGCTTTATGTGGTTATGGACCAATAGAGAAATCTAAAAAATATATATCATCAAATGTTTTTTCACAATTTTTTGTGAACTGAGGATCATGGAAAGCGGAAAAATTATTGAAATATTTATCAAATGTCTCAGTGCACTATAATCCTTGCAATTTCTGGTGAGGTCATGGTAGGCTTGGGCTTGTCTTGTCAATTCAGCGGAATCTCTATCTTTTACATACTGAAATTTCATTTCTTAAATCGATGCCCTTGGCTTAACATTCTTGTCAAAACAAGCAGTGGGATAGTCACGGAACCTAAAGTTTGAAGCATGATTTCTTAATGCATATTTTCTATTTGAGTGTTTGTACATCATTTATATCCCTCTGATCTTTGGATATTCCAGCGATCGTGTTGAATTGTTTTCATTCCTACAAGCTGCAAAGCATGTTTGTGTGTTAACTGAATTTCTTCAAGATGTTTTATGTTATTTAGTTTTTTGTATAAATGTATAAAATAAAATAATTTTTATGATTTGAGTTTACCATTCACAAACTTTCAGGTATTGAGTTTTGCGAGAGTCTGTGACAGTTTCATAGTTGTTAAGACATAATCACTCAATATTTGTTATGATTCTTTTTTTTTAAATACCTTTTGCTTTTATGTTCTACAGTTCCCATGTTTTTGACGGTGCTTTAAATATATCTTGGAAACTTAGTGGCCTTTATTATTGAGACTCTGGATTTTCAATGGTTGATCTATCTACTTTTATCTATATAATGGACTATACTTCGATGTGTATCCTCGCGGTACAAAATCATACATTAAAAAGGTGTTCCAGTGTATGCATTGGATGATGAAAAATTAACATGTATGCAGTGATAGATTGAAAAGTACATCTAGCTGAGATCAATTGTAGCTCAATAAATTTTGTTTTTCGTGTTTCTTAGGACTGGACAAAACTCCCGAACCGAATCAAACCAAACGTGACCCTATCCGAACTGAATAGAATCGAGCAGTTCTTCTTAATCAAATTGACCTAAATGTTACCTAAATCTATTATTCTACTGCAGTGCTGTTTTTACTGTTATGGAGAAATCGAATTGGAAGTTCAGTTGTCCCTCTCTTCATTATTGTGAGCTCGCTATCTAAACCCACTTTGGGGTGGTCATATTATCGTGGTCCAGAAGGATGTTTCATCAGCCTTTCTTCTGGTTTTCCTCACTCTGACCTCTTTCTGATCACAGTGGTAGTTGCATAGAAGACTGTTCTTCACGTACTATATTCTTCGTAGTGATTACTGTTGTGCGATATGCTATCTATTTTGCTTGAATATAGGAAGTTTTGGTTCATCATTAAAGGTTCTCAAGATGCTCTTTTGTGCTCTTCTATATTTTTACATGAAGCCATTTTATACTCCATGACATGCTAAACATGGAAAAAAATTCGTTGATTTGGACAATCTTCTTTGGCGATGCTGAATACTCTGGAAACTGCATGTTATCGTCAATATTCTTTCAAGCTATTTGAGAGCTCATAAATAGAAGAAATGAACTATAGAATAAAAGATGATTTAACATTTGAAGTTGTGACTAATTTCTTAATTGTAATTTTAGGTCTTAAAGAGTTTCCTTGGTACTGCTGAGGCTGAAGTGAGGTCGCTTACTGCCCTGTATTCTGAAGTGGTGAGCTTAATTGTTCTTCTCCTGTGGCAAGAAATAAAAATAAAAAATCCCTTTTTCAAGTAATATAATGACCAGAAGCTTGTCTTAGTCGTCTAATATATCGTATGCAGGGAAGAAATGCGGATTCACTGTCACAGTATTTTGGCGAAGATCCAGCACGATTCCCCTTTGAACAAGGTTTGATAGAATTTCTATTTTGATTTTTGGACATTCCAAGCTTGTACAAACACAAATGTTTGCAGTTCGCTTTCATTATTTTGTCCTCATTTCCTCATTGCAGTTAGCAGCATTTTATCATTTATGAAGGAAAAGGCTGAGCGAATGTAACACCACCGTTGATGACATTGAGTTTGTAGCCAAAGTTGATTATTTACATTGTGAATTGACTTATGCATGATATTCTAGCAACTCATATTAAGGTGTGCGTAGACCTTGTTTAGGGTGGTTGGTTGAGCTTTCTGTTAAAATACCAGTGTTTGGTGCCTAAACCACCTCGTAAAGTTCCAGGGTCCCCGCTTGATTGATTGAAGGAGTGCTTGTTTTCTGGGTGGAGGCATGCATAACAAATTAATTAACTTGTGAACTTCCATATATCAGTAATGATAGATAAAAATTTAATAAATTTTCTTGGCCAAATATGTGAAATAATGAATATGTGATTTTCATATTGTTGATGCATTTTCTGGTTTATGGACAGCATCATGGTTGTTTTGGGCTCCTATCTGCAGTGACACAAATATTGGTTGTCTTCACTAAGATGTTTAATAAAGCACGCGACGAAAATGAGCAGCAGGCTGATGCTGAAAAGAAGAAATTG